TTTGCATCTGCTGCCAAGTTTGCCGGTAATATATCGTATATACCTTCACTTTCACTGTAATTCACTGTGCAATTCCCTCCTGAATCATCTTTAACCTTGAAAATGTTATAGTAAATTTTCACTTAAAAAAGGAAAAGATTTCTTTACATAATTTCGTGATTTTCATAAAAACGCTGATACAGCTTTTATGGACTTAAGCGAGTGGTTTTCTTTGACTCCTAACTACTAGTTTACCGTTTAGTTTCTCTCCTGCGAAAGAAATCTACGTACAGGCAACATTCTTGGTTCTCAGAGGATACTTTCAAGTTCTAACAACAGATAGAGCCACCATGTTATTAGGCGAGAAACTCAATTTCTACTGCTACAGTATTTATGCACCCAAAGCTTGCAGAGACTTGACGCGCGAAATTCGAACTTAACAATATATAAACGACATTTACACAAGAAACTCGTCTTTAGAAAAAGCTGAAAAAATAATTCGACAACCCGCAAAAAAATTTATTATACTGCTTTTTATTGTCTGTGTAAAAAGTAGCCGAATGTTGTTGGCATTTCCTAAAAAAAATTTAAGAAATTATAACTATAGAAAATAAGTAAAACTAATTGTCGACTAAAATTTATACAAAGATTGTTGTACAATTAAATTTCTAACAGATCAGGATTTCTTAATATGCGCGTTCCACGAGTTATTCGTTATGCAATTAATGCAATACCAGTGTTTTTATATTATCCTGTGGATAAGTCCAGTCCATTCATCACATAGAAACAGGCCTATTCAGGTATGGCCAAGATATTATAGGTGTGGACAGTGGAATCCCCGCTTTCCAAGGTTACAAATCCATCCATTAGCCGTTTGAGCCATAAACAAAAAAGAAGCAAGTCTCTTAGCAAAAGCACAAAAATATAATGAAAGAATTGAAAATTACAATGCAGGCTAATGTAGGACGATACAATTCATACGCAATCAGCAAAATTAACAAGAAATAATACACTAAGATTATTCGAATAGTTAAGTGGAACGACAATTATTATGATTAAAAAATGTGTAAATGAAAAATAGTGCGATGGAGAAAATAATCAAGAGAGATGTGTTTTATTTGCAAAGAAATTTCTATGAACGTGTCTTCTCAAGGTTAAGAAATTTTCACTAATTAAAATAAATAATTGAATGCAAATTAACTGTACAGTTATTTCTATTACCTCCAGGAACATTACACACAGAACCAAATTTTTTTGAACATAAAAAATTAAAAATCTTTACGACACAGTTAGCCCTCTACAAGATCAGCTTGTGCGATAATGGTACGAAATTTACTCTGCCGTCAGAGTCGTAAAATTCTGCATAAAATCTTTTTTGTTCTCTGGAAAAAAAAGAATTATAAGGATCTTAATAATGCGTCTTCTGCATTTGGAAAGTTATAAAACATTGTGATGTAAGATACCTGTCAGATATGTATATTAAAATACGAAGTTGTCGCGAACTTAACGTTCGATCAGAGAGATTAATACGAATTATTTAAAGTTCGTTGACAACGGTCCATTAAATCTTACAAAAGTCTGACATTCGTTATCCGAATATTTTAAAAGCTTCCTCTTCTTTAAACGAAGCTTGATAATGGGTGTACACGCGTTCACGAAATGTCGATAAGAAAGAAAGAGAAAAAGATTGAAAAAGTAAAAGGAGAGACCAAAGTTGAGAAAGGAAACGTATAGAGATTTGCATAAATCATCCTCCGTTCCTATGGTGTTCACTTAAATATTGAGAGTAAAGACTGTGGGCGCGAAAAGAAGGGGGAGAAGAAGAACACCAACACTGAAACAAAATTGGAAGTTCTGTTTTCTCTGGTCCGTGTTTCGTGTCACCAACACAGTAGAGGATTTATTCAAGAAACATTTTGTCCACGGCGATCATCTCCCTGACGCAGGCCTTCAAGAGAAGTCAATTAAAAAATCTAGTTCTTCCAATGCCATCGGATTGCGAAATAAACTGGAGGGAGCATCGGCCGAGTATAAAAGGTCGAAATATCTTTGGGATGATACTCGACTCCTCATTCAAACATCATACGGCTAACATGAGGCTCCTGCTCATCGCTCTGGTAAGGATCCTCTTTTATTGTCCCCTTAAAATACCATTCATAGAGATCTGTATAATCAGATATGTATTACGTAAAGTACATTGTTTAAATTTTGTATCTTCCAATTCATAGTTTTCATTTCGATACAATTTATTGAACATTAATTCACAGTTGAGTATTCATAAATGATCATATTTAATGTTGCATATTCAGCTTTGAAATTTGAAAAATATGTCAAAATCAAAAATATTTCAGATTTGCCTGGCGGCTTCTTCAGCTTTGTCGTTGCCGAAGCAAAAGAGGAATATCCTACCTGGTGATCCACGTTATGGAACCGATCATCATCATCATCACGAGAACGTAGTAGAAGACGCAAGATCCCTTGGTGACTCCTACGCCCAGATACCACAGACCGTCTATGGACCTCCTGGATATCAACCAGGTGTTCCCTTAAACAATGAATACTTGTCACCAGTCAGTGATTCCAACACACATTCCGCACCGGTACTGTCTTATGGAGTTCCTGATACTGTTCATATAACTCAAATAAACTTAATAGAGGATAGAATAATAGAAGATTGTAGTTGAAGAATTCTTATACAGAATTACTTTCAATGATAGAAATTAATTTATAAATTATGTTTTTATTCAGGTTCCTGAAGCGATTAATACCTACCTGGTACCAGAGGGAACGGTATCAACCACCACGGTTTCGGTGCCTGTTGAAGGAGTCAAGGTACATACATACATATATATATAACATATGTATACAATTTTTAACTTTTACAAAATATCGTATCGTCCAATTATTATAATTTTGTAGACAGCGACTGCTATACCGCCTGCAACTTCTTATGGAACTCCGGAAAGTAATGTTAAGGTATATCGATATTCTCTATAATCTGTTCGTCCCAACAATTACTTTGTTTTAATAATGCACGTCTAATCTAAAAATTTTCAGAGCACAGTGGGAACTGGAGCCACTTCCCACGTGAAATCTACAGTCACAAATGTAAAGAACGGAGTCCATGATGTATCTCCATCAACTGTGAATGTTGTTGAACATGCACCTGTCGTAAAAGGTAAACACTCTTTTACACTAGATATTTCTTTAAAGTTAAAGTATACGATAACACACTGAAGAAATATTTTTGGTGACGTTACGTAATCCGAATTTTAAAATATCGCGGTAAATCGTCAGTAACATGACATATAACTATATATATATTTTGCATCCTGAATAATTTATGAACCAAACATTTTAAAGATGTTTCTTTGGAAATAAATGATACATATCTTCCACAGCTAAGCTATAATATAAATTTTATGTTATTGGAAAATTATCGTGTTTCAACGTCGTCAAGTTTTAAATTTGCTGATTCTAATCAATCGTAATTGATTGTAACTTTTTGATTGCAGAGGTTACACATTTTACTGGTAAAGTGCAAGCTCCCTCCTCGGTTACAACAACCATAAGGAAAAATGTTTTTGACAACGGTCTGCTAACTGAAACATTACCCAACACATACAGCTCTTACGGAGGAGTCGTCCACGTGCCGCGCTATGACGTTTCTTCCCATGTTCCTTCCATTCTTTATTCGCCAGGATTCAGTTCCTTTGACGCTATTTCAACTGGATACAGTGGACTTAATCCTGTAGCATCTGATAATCAGGGTCTAAATTTAGATGTTCCTCTACCTCTTTCATTTAAACTCCAAGTCAGTAAAAATGTTCCAAACACCTATTCTTTTCCACAACCTGCCGAGTTTCCTACAACATATCACGTTCCACATTCGCTTACACACGTCGTGCATCATACACATCCTGTAAACACCTTGTACTCCTCACCTTCTCTCTCCTCCGTGGAATCGCTTTCTCCAGCACAGCATGTACCTTCCGTGGAAACTTTAACACCTCTGCGATCAGCTCACACTGTGGATACTTTCACGCCGGTACAATCCGTGGAAACCTTGTCACCGCTGCACTTGGTGCATACCGTAGAATCCGTGAAGTCGGTGGAAACCACGCCAGTCCAACATACCGTGCACTCTGTTCAATCTGTGCCATCGGTGAAAACCGTGGGAACTCTAACACCAGTTGAACATACTGTGCATCCAGTGCAATCCGTAGAGACGGTATCAACGATACGTCCTCTGGAATCCGTAGAGACCGTGACGTTGCATCCATTGAAATCAGTGGAAATCGTGTCACCATCGCAACCAGTAGAATCTTATCATACGGTAGTTAAAACCAATACACCTGTGGTTCAAAGTCACGTTCAGACACAGAAGGGACCGATAAGCGATTTTTTCCAAAATCTTAACATCTCGTTGCCCTCGTTTCCCTCGTTTCCCTCGTTTCCCTCGTTGCCCTCGCTGCCCTCTTTCTCTTCGTCCTCTTCCTTATTCGCCTTTACTAATTCCCCCGCAAGCTCAACAACCGTAGTCCCATTAGTGGAAACATCTACCCCATCCAGTACCTTTTTGGCTAGCGCTTATAACCAGGAAAATGTCAACGTCGATACTTCGTTATTACACAATGATAACCTAGTGAAAAGTGTTGCTACATCGAGTAACGAGTACGTTCAACCCACGGATGCCAAAGGTGGATACATTTATTAAAAGTACATTGCAAATGTTTTCTGTCATGAAATATAACAAAAGCGTTGGATGAGATGTCCGTGTCGTACGAAGCAGAGTTAAGTTGTAGTTGAGAGGTCTAACGCGTTGGAATAGTATTGTCTTGAATGACCGTACGCAATAAGTAACGGAGGATTCCTAAGTGCAACCCTTAAATTTCTGATCGCCTGAGATAAACATTTGGTTAACGCATAAATGTAAAACACGAATACATGACTATTATAAGTAAATAAAATTCTTTTATTACAAACACGGAGTTGTTTTATCACAACGTTGTCATTTCTCAACAATTGCTCTATACTTTAATACACTTGTCACTGAAACTACTTGTCTTGGTTACATTATTTGTTACAATCGATGGTATTAGCTAAGATAATAGACAAGTATAAAAGTTTGATTATTTTGGGGGAAGAAGATTCAGAAAATTCCTATGAAAATAACTTTGTTCGAAGAACTGTGTCATTACCACAATCTGCATTTTTCTGAAGGATTCATGTTTGATCCCACAGGACATTTCCATGCTTCGCTGAATTCCTTTGAATTCCTGAGAACCCCGAGAAGTCTCACGTGCCCAGGACAATGGGAATCTTGTAATATCCATTTCAAAGATTTTGGTGTGTAGGATTCGCACCAAACCTAAGTAGGAAAAATATTTTAGAAAGCAGAATAAATTAAATATTATACCTATAATGATGCATCTATACAAAATATGAGATAAACTATACATTAATTAGAAATATGCAATTTAGAAATATGTTAAGTAACGCTAAACAATATAATCATCTGAGAGTCGTTTACTGTTAATTTCACATCTCACAAATTATTTAAAAAATTGCAGAACTTCCTTCGAATAACTAATTTAAATTACATGCGACGAACATCATTAATATTCACCGTAGATTGCTTAATTCATCAAAAAAAAAAAAATTTTTTTTTAAATTGAAGTAATTTACATATTTTTCAGAACGTTTGTCCTTATTCTTTAGAATGTTTTAAACATTCCTATTTCAATGCTATATTTCAACTGTTCTAAGCAAGTTCACTATGAAAGGATTAAAGTCCAGGTTACGTAACCTTCGATAAAACATATTTGAATCAGCATCTTACGTGCGCGAAACCGAGGAAAACAAGTTGCTCGTGAGTAAGGTGAGTGAATCCCGGAAGAAAAGGCTCTTGACCGTGCCTGGCCTTCCATCTTCCGTAAGCGACGACAGCCTCTCTGAGACCTCCATTATCGGCTATATTTTCGCCCAATGTACGTTCACCATCTATATAATCTTCTACCTGTTCGAACAAATACGTGATCGATCCTATCGTTATCTTTATGAACCAATACATATAAAGTGGGAATAAGATCAAGTACCAGTAAGGTCAAGATTTTTGTCAGAGTCAAAAGGATGCAAGTCGAGAGACGAGAAGGTAAAAGGCTCACATAGTCTAAATTAGTTATAAAATAGCGTAAATTTGAAATTCATCCACCATAGTGTTTTGAGAATGTTTTTAGATTTGAATAAGTAATACGGACGAAAATAAATTTTGTCCTTACTTCAGCTTCATAATAGCTGTTATAATGATGTATAAAACAGTCAGTCTTTTCAGTGTATTTTATAATAGTTTCATTGGTCCACCATTGCCTCACGTTTCCATTGCTATCGTAGTGTCTTCCACTGTTGTCGAATCCGTGAGTTAACTCGTGACCGAGCACTGTTCCGATGGCACCGTAATTCAGAGATCTGAAATCAAGAAATCCATTTAGAAAAACTAACTATTAATAATTATCTCTCACGATGATAATATTGTTCTTACTCGAGACCCAGTTCGTAAAAAGGGAATTGAAGAATTCCCGCTGGTATAGCTGCATGCGTATTAGAAAAGCGATATAAATATAATTAAACGTTAGATAAGTTAAGCTATAATGATCTGGGGAATTACGTACTTATATGATTAAATTGATAGGTATGAAATGCATTTACATCTGTCGGATCAGTCGCCCAGCTAAAAAATAAAGAAAATAGAGATTATTCCACAAAATTGTTCTACGTGCTTACTTCATGATGTTCATTTGCGTAATAAAATAAAATTCTTACTACGACATGTTGTTATAATTAATATCGTGGATGCATTCCAACTCAGACAAGGACATCAATCGAACAATTTGAATTATATTGTTCAAATATTCCGTTTCCGCGAGATCTATCTGAAAATATACAAATTAATTTTATTGCCACTGTACGTATGCTCGAGCAATTAAACTAACAATAAATTTCTTACGCCTTCGTAATATTCGTTAAGCACTTTTTCATCGAACAACCAATCTGGAAAGCCAATTTGAGATTCCATTTTCCTGTTTTTCTCTATCGTGGCCATTTTTGTCTGCCGATCCATCCAATCGGTGCGCGAAACCATCGAGGCGAAAGCTTGTTTTATGTCGTCCAGCATTTCAAACACCTTCTTGCCCTTGTTTTCGTGAAAGGATGGATCCACGAACAACCACGAGACCGCCATTCCTAGATTATACCAGGCTTTGATGAAAGGCCGACGAGTTTCGTAAGAATTTCGAATACCTTGCGCCTTTTAGCCGATACAGGTTCTACCTCTACATATACAGACCCAATCTCAAAATAAAATTGTATTAGACTAACCCATCAATTCGTTAACCGCAGACGCACAAAGCAGAGACTTCGATTCAGCGATTTCGATACTAGTTACTGCCCTGGTATAATCTAGCCAAATTTTCCTTAAATTGTCGGATGAATGAGGTACAACTATGTCTACGATTACCCACCAAATGTAGCTCTCTAACACAGCAAGATAATTGTTAAGTAAGTTAATCGATTCTCAACAAAAGCTGATAAATTTTTAGTTTACCTAATTCTTCTTCTTCGGTAAGAGCCAGCATTAGAGCAATTTCCTTCATGTATTCCAAATCACCTACTAATATCTTATCTGTCTTATTCAAGTCTAAAGTGTCAATATCCTTGAAAACTAGCTCAATGAACGGTCGCCATAATGGTTTGGGCGTAAGTGTCGAATTAACTTCCGACACGTACTCGTCAGTCAACTTCTGAAGATCGTCTACCAGCATATAATCATCATCGGTTGGTTCATTTTCCCAAATGCTTTGATTGCTTTCCATACGCGATATCTGCAACGAAGTAATGCTTTTAACGACCAATTATCACATTATTGATACATGCAATATCGTTATTCGAATGTACTTACGTAATAGAAAGTACTAGTTAAATCGTAAAGCGTGTCGACTACATCCTCTAGCTCTTCCTTGTAGGGAAATGATGATTCATTCTTTAAGGAGCAAGTATCAAGAGTTCCATTATTCACGATTTGCTTAATTACGTCGCTCATGTACATCATCTCTGCCTTCGTCAGCTTACTCATCATTAACATATCCTCTTCGTCGTCCAGCTTCCGGAAGCGTGACCTGATCGTATGCAGTCGTTTCTCAAGCTCCTTATCGCTGTCGATTAAAAAAATCCAATTATGGAATTGTATTTCTGTGCAATGATTCAAATATCTGAATCATATATTAACTGTTTAAAATGAGTAATAAAAAATATACTTGGGTAACGGATTTGTCATAATCGGTGTATCGAACAGCATGACATTATTACTGGTGTTTCGAGGATCAGGAATAATGTCGAAACCGAAAAACACATCTTTTCCCAGAACTTTCTTCACCCTGGCTATTTGTTCGATATAACCGCTTGTCTTCTTCGTAAGCCCCGCAGGAATCGAAGGTAAATTGAGCTCCTCCAATAACTCGAACAACGGCGCAAGTCCCACTTCATTTTTCGCGTCTGAAGTTAAAGCATAGGACGATCTACATTATTTTAATTGCCTTACGAAGATACAAAATAATTTAAGAAAATGATAACGTACGCACGTCCATGCAGCTGTTGTACAATATCTTTGCCTGTGACACTGCCCATGGTACATCACTGTTTGTGGTATTATCTCGTAAGAGTTCTCTTATTTTCCTGTACATTCTTTCTCTACGCTCGTCGAACCATGAATTCGTCAAACTTTTATCGGGTATAGGATGTTCGTCTGACCATTTTCCACATACGTATCTGTAAAAGCAAGAAACGCTATAAACACATAGATAGATATCATATCGAAAAAATGTATCGATTAAGTATTTTGCAAATTATGCATGCAAACTTGAACTCATTGTCACTGTACTTGTTGCCAACGAGGGGTGAATCGTATTGTAACCGTGACTGTACGACATTGAAAACTAACTTTGTAACTTTGAGACAGGCTATAGACTGTGTGTATCATTGTTTTTCAAACTAGAGTACTTACTTATAAAAATCGTCACAAGGATCTACAGAAGTATCCATAGATTCCTTCAAACTAGCAGCTAGTGGAACAACGATTTCATAGAATCTTTTTCGATTTTAATTAAAATATAGCATAATATTGATTATTTTCTTACCTATGCGGACGCAATTTTCAGTTTCGCAAAGTTCCACAGGTCTGTAGGTTGCATCTGCAAAAGAATTAATCAATAAAAACAAAAAGCATATATACAGATTTGGATAAAACAAGAGGAAAGATAATAATCTGAAGATAAACATTACTTACAAAGTATAATAAACACCAGGGCCACTATAACGGCTAAAGCCATCAGGAGGAACAATATAATCATCGTTAAATACGATACGTACCGTCGTTTCTTTAAGCTGAAAAAAGATAGTAAATCTAATTGGCAGGCTTGAATTAACAGCTTCCTCGCGGACTGTTTGATGCATGTAATAATACGATTTAATGAGCAAGCGAGTTGAGACAACCGGCAGACGTCAATCTCGCAATCACTTACTAGGCGTGCCTGGATCTTATCGGTACCAGGTTCTGGTTGCTGGCGATCGTGTAAATCGAATTTACTTCATCTTCTGGAAAAAAAAATAATAGTATAATAGTATATCTGTTAAATTGAAGAAAGGATAACGATGGAAACAGGTGTCGCTGTGAAAAAGAATACGTAGATAAAGTTTTATTTCCGTATTTAAGTAATTAAGATTAAATTATCGCTTTTTTACTCGAATGAGTCAACTTGACGTCAATACGGACGAATGCTTCTAATTTCAAACTTCGTTACTTTATCAGTTAAAACGTTTCGACAATTAGTAATCTTAGTAATTTCTTGCAATGGTTTAAAAATTTTTTACAATTCAAAAGATTCATTACTTGTATATTAATTATTTATTTGAAGGAAATTAATAGAACGACAGAGACATTTACATATGTATATCGCGATGGACACTTCCTTCGAGCCCATTACATCAGTATACAACTTAACATTAAACGACTACGAAGGGATGAAGTACCACTAGTGAAGTTAAAACAGACTATAGCGAGTTAAAATAGGGATGCACAGATATCAGTAGAAGCTACAATGAATAAATTGTATAAATATACTCACTGCGCTCGTTCATGGTGAATGGCCCAGTGACCGGATCGAACTGACGACACTGAACAACCTCGAGGGACAACGGGGGCTGTCCATACGTTCACATTTTCCTGCTTTGCCAGTGGTTCTCGTTACGTCGAACAACTCGTCTATTTTCACCTGTGCCGTTGTTACATTCACCCCAACCACGTGTCTTGCTCCATTAAAACGGTACTTCGCACATGCTACTTCTTCTTGTTACTTCTCTTAGCTATATCCTCGTAAAGCTTTAATGAAGTTTCTTTGTTGTAGATTTTGTAAACGATCGAATATTTTGTAGACTACGAAACGATTCGCTTAGGTTAAGCCAATGGTTATGCGCTCTAGACGTGAACTTGAATTGAAATATACAATTGTTAATTAAAAATGAATCCAAGTCACGTTGCAAGGAAAATATTGTGTCCAATTTAATCGCACTTGCACCTCTACACTGTGAAGATCGAAAGAAATCGTGAGATTATTATTTAAAATAGCCAAACTATTCGGCCTTCGACACAGTTGACGTATGCAGAGTTTATCACTAAAATATGTAGGTATTTCCTTGAAGTATATGATCGATAATCGCCATCGTTCATGCGTTGAAGACTCTTCTCAAGGTTTATTTCTCATTACAGAAGGAATTGCTCCCCTTCCCACTCTGTGGGAAACATAGTGCCTAAATTGGTTTGTCTTGAACAAACAATGGCACCGTGCAAAATTGAATGGTTTATACATGAAATACCTATATACATTAGGAAATCCTATTTACGTAAATAACATTTCGCTAGAACGATCACCTCAGCCTCAGGCTCGCAATATTATCGTTTGTTTCTTAATGAAGATAACAAGATGTAATTACAATTAAATATTCGTTTTATAATTTCATTACGCAGTATATATCAGTGATATAACATTTTTCTATCTGTGTTGGAACGGTTGTGTTATGGAGAGAAAGTAAAGACTATGTAAGGCATATATATTCCATAATTCATTCGCGAAATTGCTAAATAGCGTTCATTCTAAATGGTACTCGTATTACCTAGCAAAATTGATGTATCGTATAAAAAGAAATCAATTACTATGATTGGAAGTTATTTCACTTGCATTAAACAAAATTCTTTATGTATATGTTCGACAGAATAGAAAGCGCTAGTACAGATGGTGGGTAGTTTTATTAGATATGAAAGACGTAACTCGGCATTCGGTCTAAATACAAAATAGGCTGATAGTAATCAGTGACAAAAAATTAAAACGCTATCTGAGTGATCGGCATCGTTCCTGTCGTGACTAGCTAATAATTGAAATAACATAATCGATGTCCTGTATGGAAGTAGGTAACGTTTGTCCATTACACGGCAGAATGTAGAACATCGAATGTAGAACATTTGATGATCTCTCCTAAAATCGTGTGAAATCAAAAGTAGACTATCGGTAGAAAAGTTATTTGTTTGCGTATCATATTAATACCAACTAATCTTAAAGCTGAATTAAAACATTTCTCGCTTTTCAAGTTGCACGCAAGTACGTAATAAATCTGCCTCCAGGTAACAAAATATACTCTGGACGTTTCTAAGACATATAGGTAATGCCTCGGAGGTATTCAGCAAAAAAATCATGAACTGTATTACGCGCAAAAAGAATTTGCACTGAATTGCAATGACATGGAGCGCCTCGGGGAATCGCTGGAAGCAGTTTCGTTGTGAACTAGAATTCCAGCGATATTTTTCCCTCTCGATTTCATACGACGCGGCGGCACGACGCGTCTCAAACGGTACTTGACATACTCGTTAAGTGTAATTAACATTTCAGCGATACGATGTGATTCCAAAGAAAGGTGCTTCGAGGGATTGTGATTTTTCGAATGCAGGTCGAGGAGAACGGCTGTTATGCTTCGTTTTTAATTTATCCTTGGTGATCAACGAAGCAATTACGTAGAAAAAAAAAATTGAACGCAAAATGTACTATTTTCTCAGAACTGGGTTATAGTTTGATCGCGAAATTCCATGTAAAGGAAGTGTACGTCTAAAATCGAACAATAGAATTACCCTAGCGTTCTTTTCTGCATACCGAAGTGTTACCAGGATTACGTAAGAATCATTTTTTACGCGTAACGTAATTAGAAGCACAGCTAAACCCTTCCTTTTGTATACTCGCCTCACAGTAGAAAATTCGAGTAAAAAGTTGTGGTATAATTATGCTAAATTACGAGTGCCATGTCATTTACGTAACGCAGTGAAATACAGACTACAACACGAAGATCGATGGAACACTTATGATCGATATATACGGAAATGAGAAAGCATTGTAACTCAATAGCACAGTATTGCTACGCGACCAGGCTCTTTTCCGATTCGCTTATGCGAAAATGCTGTATATGATAATAATCAGAAAATTTCTCCTGTACAACTTTCCGATTCGTATCGGCATAAAAATCGGGATTAAAAATCGACTTGACGAATGATAATTTGCGCTTGCTGCGAATTTCGCAGGACTCGCGAAATTCTACGATGAATTTTAGTAGATCCGAAACGTTCTAACGATCGTGTTTCATGTCCTTCCTCTTTCTTTTTGACCTGCGACTGCTGCATCGAATTAGAACGATTTACGATTCGTGGCGCTTTCTCGTTGCGTAATTCTTACGGTGCAGTCTCTTGAGCGCTTTTTAGCTGTCAGAAGCGTGTAAGAAGGCTGTAAACTAAAGAAATTACCGAAATTATCATAGCGATTATTTTCAAGAAATTTGTGTACGAATAAACAGCACGCTTTCATTTATTCTAAACAGAGCGTTATACAAGATTCAGTATTTTTTATCTTTATTCGAATCTCTTTCAAAGATTATTATGATGAGATCAAGACAGCATGGCAAAGTCTTGCACAACTAATTAAAAAAACTTTTGTTCAAATTTCGAAAGTTAATACGATCGATCGGTCTGAACTATTTGACTCGCTGGTCTTCTGACACGATACACTGTGAAAATAATAGTAGCAGGTTGAACGTTTTTGTTTGGACGAGTCGTTACCCTGGCGACATTAGATTGATTTGTATCATGGAGCTTCCGGGTCGCGTTCATGTGCCAGGCTTAAGACCGCTTGTTATCATGCACTGATAATACCAATGTACTAAAATAGGAGAAAAAACATTGAAACTGTGAAAATATAGATAAAAACAGCTTTAGCCTTCTATGAGTGAAGAACTTTGTTAAATATAGAGGAAGAGGAAATAAACGAATGAAAAAAATTACAGCAGATTTTTTATCACAAGACATAAAAATTAACTTTTATTAGAAAATAAATAAAAGTGTTGTTGCAAAAGTATGGTAGGGAAAGGGATGGGTGGTAGGCGGAAAGAAGAGAAGAAAATATACAATGAAGGCTCCGATGTCGTGATGTCTTCTTCAATATCACATGCCGCACAAGAATTTCGACGCGTCCAGAAACAAAAGGTAGAGTTAACAAGGAAAGGGCAGATACAGGAAGTGAGTCTGTAAGAAAGTCGCTGCGCTCGTGTAATCGTGTATCGTGTGGTTGCTCTATGAGGATAAAAAATAAGAAAACTTTTTTTAAGATTGGGTGCCTGGTCTGAGGTCTTCGGGTGGTCCAAAACGCTCGCCGATCCTGAGGGCGTCGATTTTCGTGATCTTCGAACGATCTGCAAGCTCGATGTTCTTCGTCCGTGATTAATCGCTGGATAATACTGATTAGTTTTCTGACTCCCCTTGTCCCGAATGAATACAGTTCGATTGATCTTGGAGAGCTAGTTCCCCTAGGATGAAGAACTCGTGCGTTGCTGTGACTACCATCGACGTGGATGCTTCAAATGTATATCGTCTCAAGCTTCTTTCCCACCAGGACAATTTCGATGTTGGCCATGGTTATCGTTGTTTGTAAAGCGTCGCTACTCCAGATGCACCTCAGGACGGCTCATCCAGGATGGATCACCCTGGACCAGCGAGTTCAGTTGGTGCCATGCGGAAATTTAATCCCAGGGGTGATGGGAGACGGGAGCCTTGACAACTTTGATTTGGGGCTCCACGTAAGATTCAACGCCGATGAGATGTGGCTGCACGATCTTAGGTCCGTGGTATGGGATCTTCACAGTCTGAACATGTGGGATTTTAATGTTGAGAGGTTGGGGGTGTGGGGCCGGAATCGACGCTTGTTGCGGGATCTGGAGCACTTGGTGCACTTCCGGAGCATGAACCTGTGGGAATTTTTTCGGATGTTAATCGATTATCTAGTAAATATATTCTATTAGAAATTTGTACCACGAAGATTTCCCTTCAGGAAATATTTTCTATTCCGGTCTTTTGTTTACTGAAGAAAATTAGCACATAATATAGAGTAACCGATTTTTAATAAATTATGGATAAATAATAAATGTGTAAGAAACATGGAAGTCATTAAACGCGTCCATGATTGCCATGGATGTAAGAACTGGAGCGAGTAGAAAATCAGCAACAGTGAATTCGAGCGACTCGTTACGAGGAACAGTTGCATAACGGGTTACGAATCACTTGTTAGTATTGTAGTTCAACTGCAGTTTCGTTACAAAGTTTATAGATCCATTGAGTAACGAATAATTAAATTGGACGACCAAGATCCGATTACGTTCCCTGATTGACTGGAAAGCCAAGTTACGTGACTCGTAACTAGCGGTCTGCTTTAAACGATCCATTAGACGTGGAAAATGAGAAGTTATCGATGATGCGGTAGTAATTTCGATCGAATGGTCAAGCTAGTCAGAAATTATGATGATGAAGGAAAGTAGTCTACGCAGACTGATTCTGAGAATGAACTTGCGAAACACAAAGTGAAGGGTTTCTGTTAAGACTGATAAGGTATTCCAAAATTATTGATACTTCCAGGTGAATGGTAGAAGTGATGTTTGTGAAAGTAGCTTTGAACGGAATTAAATACATGTAAGTTATTTGTAATACTGTTGAGATGTTACATGTTCAACGAAGAGTTTCTCCTATTAACTTGTGTTAACTTCCAACATGATATTAATCTTATAGTATCTCTATCGTTACCTGAGGCGCAGATACCTTGACTAACGGTGCTGCAGCAACCTTAACATACGAAGGTTGAGCGACCTTAACGTACGAAGGTGCTGCCCATGGTGCAGGTGCTGGCCAAGCTTCAGGTGCTGGCCATGGTTGTGACACCTATGTGTTTCAAAAATCAGGATTTCGTTTCAATTTATCTACTGTTCAATCCTCGATATGGAAACTTGGTTACGTTTGGTTACTTTCCACCGAGCAAGTCCAATTTCTCGGTTAACGAAGATCGATGCTGGAAAATGCATCGTACGAACGAACAAAAGTCTCCGGAAGATTAGATTACCAGTAAATGAACGAAAAGAAAGAAACGTGAAAATAGGTGCTGAAGAGAATACGTTAAATCAATGACGCGATCGTTGAAGGATTTCTTCTTGACTTGGATCGATCACGGCCCAAGTTTCGTCCAGTAACATTTGGACGTCGTTGAGTTAAGAAAAATGTTAAAATCGTGGAGGTAAGATGAGTACTAACTATTTCGTTATCGAACACTGTCCTGATAGTAATGGTTGGAAGACAGTATTCGTAGAAATTGCTTATCTCAAAGTGTTAAGGAGAAGATTAAGGTGTCGAACATTTTAGGAAAGTGTTACGTTTTAATAATCCGATCCAACAGTATAGAACATTTTCTAGCATTAAACGTAACAAATTATTAGAAGATTATTTCAGAACGTGCAGTATCATACTTCGATTTACAAACTCTCAATCGGATTAACAGTTTCCAGAAATTTCTGGCTTCACTTACCGGTGCATGAATGTATCCAGGGTAGGCACTGGCGACGGCCATAACGGCGAAGAGAACAATCTGCAATTACAAAAAAATTAACTCAATATTTCTATCGAAATCGAATAACGTCTTATATACTTAGAGAACTAAAGTTAGAGAATACGAACACCCTCTGAGCAGAGGCAAAGATTAAGTTCAAAATTAAGAAGGCGCAAAATGGATGAAGTACGAGTCTCAGACATACAATGAGAGACTCGTTCGTAACTGGTAGAAACTTACAACGAACTTCATTGTAGGCGATTTTTCTTGTGCAGTACACGGGAAACACTACGTATCTGAGGGGCGACGCGGTATGCTTTTATAGCGGTGCCCTGCCCAGGCCCAGGGAACTAAGATGAGGCGGGGGTACAACGATTGCATTGCATACAGACCCCTTTCACCAATAGCGATCGACCCTTTCAGACCCCTTATTCGGTGCTCCACTGATCGCAGATACGTTCCACTTCCGTCAACTGCGATGACACCCTAGAAGATTTTAATTCCGTGTCCTTACCAGAGAAAGCTTTTGGAAAAAATCGAAATGTCCGCGTAAGATTGACCTGATTCGACGCTGTAGAACGACGGTACGTACATTCGTCGATGGAGAGAAAAAAACGAGATCTTAGATCATGCGAAACACTCATCGTGATTTCGTATACCTGCCCTTCTACGATTATGAATTATCATTTCTTCAATTTATTAATTAATCATCCTGCGTTGCTTATCTACGTACTTTGAAGGGAATATTTATAGAAAAAGAAACGTAATAATTTATATTGTCATCTTTTAAATCTTGATAGAGTTTCGCCATATCATGTGTGTACATATTACAATGTCATGTCAATCATCTCGAAACAGCGATGGCGATAGACAGAATTGCACAACGAAAAATTAAGCACGACTTCCGGCTAAATTGACGTAACACGAATTACAACAAGGCTTCGTCGAGTACTTTATGAAATTTTCTGCTAAAATTTTACCTCTTCCTCGCAAATTCATTCTCCTCATCGACGTGCTTCGATACCTTCCAACGATATGAATCTATTATCGGTACCTAACAATGTGATAGTTGTCGCAAGAAAGCAACAGTGCTTTCATGATTCCACTGCTCAGCATTACGTTGTTTTCACGAAAAACACAGTTGGGTCAAGTAAAAAAGCATTATATGTACGCCAGCAATGGAAAAGATGAATCAGAAAAACGAGAAGCTGCATAGTCATTTTATCGTTCTTAGTTTATAACAGACATTATACCAACGCAAAGTTAAATCCTGTCACGTGTTTTTCTAACACGCCACGCTGAATTAAATTCGGCCACGAAAAAGAAAATCGAAATGCTCAGTGTTGTAAAGTTGAGTAAGCAGCAATTAGTCATTGATCATAATTCTGTGATGCTTGTATTGGCGCATATAAACAATGTAAGGCGCGGTGACGCAACTTTGTACGATACATAAAATAGTAAAAGTCTGAAGCATTTTAAAATTTGAATCTATTCTTGATCGCAGGTATCGAGCGTTACGATCAAATATTAATGTAAAATCGTGGAAAGAAAAGAATCGTTACTATTGCTAAATCGATCTACTATTACGGCAAAGCGAAATTCCTTCTATACGTTTTTGATCCGCAGAATATTATGCAATTGTAACTAGAAATAATATAGGGAGCGAGACAAAGTAAAATTCTGTTTCAATTTTCATCTCTCCCACCCTATTTATCCCAATTATTCCTCGCGTCGCTAATAGGTTGGATTTTACGACTCGCCAATTTCGTAAGCGGTGTAAACGCCAACTTTCTGTAACGTAACAAGCCACTGGAGTCCAAGTAAAGTCGTAAATGCATCTAGTTCTTGGTTGTGCGTTTATATTGTTTAAATTGTATCTATTCTAAGAAAAAATTAACATTTTATACCGAATCCTTCATCTTTCTCGAAGTAAAAAGACTCCCCTCCATTTCTTTCGTAACTTAAAATTTCTTACTTATCTTCTATGTTATACTAGCATAATATACGCGCGATACTCGTCATTCTGTCGATCTGATGTATTTTCGAAACGATGGACAAAAAGCTAAACCACATCTATTTTACCGAAGATGTCAACCTTAGAACTCGCGAACATTCTCCTATGTGATCTTCAGACACGAAGGTTGCAACGTTTCGCGAAGTTTCCACCTTGGCATGGTTTCTCTAAAGCGACTTTTCTCAATACCTTTGGCCTGCTCGATTTCCTTATCGAGAAAACTGGCCGCCCTTTACATGGGAGTGCGCCGGACAGTTGGTCAATCTTTCGCCAAGCTGGAAAACGTTTTGACCCGTGCGTTGATCACTGAAGATTCCCGATAGAATTCCAACTCGAGTAAACGTTTCTTACGATAACGATGAACATTTAAGAAGAAAAAAAAAAGGAATAATTTAAGCTATTAAAGTGAATGATTTTGGTTGTTACAGAGAAAAAAGATTTTTAAACAAAAGGCCACCTGGAACGCATTGCTCGTAACAGCAATTATTACGTCTCGAGTACATTGATAATGAAGTTTCTCAACCTTTTGCTCGCAATAAGGCGTACGTTACTCGAGAATAACACACGATTCTCAGGCTTTATTTATTGTTAGCAGACTAGCTCATTGAATATAAACTGTGTTAATTTAAGACAAACGAATCAAAGCCTGGCCAGAAACAATTTAGTTAAACATGAAATGCAACATCTACTCATCAGTTATAAAGTGCAACAAAGTATTCGTAGAATAAAATCACCGGTTAACAAGGGTATACTTCGTTAAATATGTTTCGTGTTGGGATACGAGTTTCTGTGTGAATCTGTCCAAGTTTCCGTACGCTAATCGTCCCTGGAAAATATTTTTTTTCGATCGATTGGCAATCACGCGGGAACGGCCGACCGTCTACCAGTCGCCACTCGAACTTTTACGCAATTTCTGCGTATTACATTCGTTGTTTCTGAACGTGTGCCGCTGCAGAGACTAAAGACAACCCTGCACGGACGTTAGCGCGCTCGCAGCAGCGCTTAGAGAATCTGGAAAATTTAACGATTCCCGTTATCTCGATTTAATTTTGACTAAAGATGAAGCATTTGGACGGTGTGGTTTATGGTTCTATGAACGTACAATATCAAGCTTGAAAACTTTGCAGGAACAATGATTATTTTATGCATATCTCTTCTCTTTCTTATTTTCCAAAAAATTTCTCCAACGTACATCTCGCCATTTTCTCTGTTCGATTCCTATTAAACCTGAATATCATTAGGAAATATTGAGAATTTGTATTGGATCTAGGACTTAGATAAATGTATCAATTCCCATGATAAATTCTCTGAATGATTGAAGGCATCGTTATGCTTCGTTTCCTGATCTATTTCAAAGAGAAATTAAGTAACAGCTTTTTCTGGTTTACAAAGGCTATGCCATGAGCAACACCACATCGAAAATGAATATTCCACTAGTGCAGATCGAGTGGATCGAGCTCAATTACTTGCTAATGAGCCAGACTAGCGTAACACGATCGTTTATGCAGTTACGTTTTATTAGAGACTTCGTTTACTCAGTCGATGTCCTCCAGAATTCTAAAATTGTCTGCAAACTAAATCGGCATATAAAATACCAATTGTCTCCAAGTAAGTCTTCCATTTACAAAAACTTGATTGTAATTCGTTAATTAATTTCCTTCTAGAGCCATACAATAGCGCGAAAAGAAACGCCTGCTCGAAAAAATTCACGCTCTGTCGAGCGGACAGAAATCCGAAATACGTCTCAAGTTTTCCATAGTGTTGTAGTCGAATCACGAAAAACGATCTAACGTCGTGATTAGCGGTTCAGCAACGCCGGTCACCGGTACACGGGGAAACCGAACCATCGAGGAAGCTCCGTGCGCCAACGAATTAAGCAATCCACTCTGTTACAGATAAACTCGCTCGACCGCTACAGATTATGAGTCAGAGAAATTAAAGCGATCCAGACGTTTGCTGTTCAGATTATATCTATTTACTTAAAAATTGCTGCGCCGGTTATTAATCTTACCGTCTGAATTGTAATTTAAGGCGTAATCACAACAGAAGTTACATAAGTTAGATTGATGATTATTAAGAAAATACGAGTAGTATAGCAAGTTACACTGTTTACATTGTTAGTATTCTATTTTCCTCGTACAATGAATTCGCTGTTGATAATAAATTTGGTAGGCGTATGATTAATGACTGATGCGACGTAATTAACCGTAGTTACGTTTCTTTAAATTAAGAAAACGAATTACAATCTTCGACATCTCTGCTTAAAAGGCAAAAAGACTTTGGGCTCTTACACCGTATCTAAACCTTTCTTCTTCAATAACAAAGACACAAAACGTAATGCGCGGCATGCTTTTTCTAAATTGTACGTTCTCACCGGACGAGGCGATTGGAAAAGGTGAATCATACTTCGATCGTGGCGAGCGATAGAAATTCGTGCTAACTTCTCCTCCCCTGAATACGTGAAATATCAATTTGTTCGGAACTTCTTGCCAAAGTGAATGCTTTTTAAACTTCGCTGCAACAATTAGAGAGCAGTGATGAAATCGAACGATAAGCAATAACCGTACGACGGACCGAGAAACGCGTTGAAATCGGAACCTAGGGGAATTTGCATAGGCTAAAAATTGCATATATATACATATAATTTAAATCATATCATGAGACTCGTTAACAAATTGATTTACACGAGACAAATCGTGTACATGCTCGATTATAAATGTGCTAAATGTACACTTAACGTCTACGAATAAATAATATATCGTGGTTTATTATCGTTAACACCTCGTATAAAACATAAATACGTTAATCTTTCACCGCTATGTTCAAGTCTGTAATAAATTGTTTGTACTGTTGGGTACTCTTCGCAATTTAATCTTATACATAACGAAAACGATAACAAATTTCTTATGCCAGGAAGAGTAAGCGAATATTGGTAATCTGTTGCATCTGCTACAAAGTGAAAATACTCATGAAAATACTTGTCTTCTTTCACCGGAAGAACGGGACGCGATAAATCATCATGACACGATGCATACGTGACGCGTTAGCAGCAGTTGGATAGATCGTAATACTAAGAGTTAAGGTGGTCGTTTCTAATACATTCCCTCGGTGCATTTTTCTTCTCGGTGGATTGCTGAATTTGTCCTCGTGAACCTCGATCGCTCCCGATCGACGAATGGCAGAATGTGATTTCTTGTTGCTTCGGTGATCGCGTTTCTTGACGTTCGCAAAGTGGACATTGCCGAAGGGGCAACGTACCGGGTGACCTGACAATTAGGACTTGCCGGATTGGTTCTCGAAATAATAAGACTTGTTTTTCCTAGAATAGACGAGAAAAACGGTGGAGCAGTTAAGTCGCTTATAGAGTTCTAATAGCTTTGAATTGAAAGAATTAAACAGGAGAAAGAAGAAGGAAAAGATAATTTATTTCAAGTTGATAATAATGAAATTGGATATCTACCAAGGAAAATTCGCGATTAGAATCGTAATAATACAATTGCCCAGTTTCATTGACATGAAAATAATATAATTATTGGGCAACTTGAGACTGGACGGAATTCAAGGAATAGCAAAACACTATTCCTAATTTCTCTACATTCCTAGGCAATTATATGGAGCGGAGCCTCGAGGGGGGAAGGGGGCACGCACCGAGTGAACCAATAGATCCGTGTGAGTATCTCACAAGAAAGAAAAATAGAGAATCGGTACTATTCGTTGTGTGAAAATTTCTGTGAGAGAAAACGATTTTAGGATTCTTTTGGTGCGTTTACGTGCAAATAACCCAAAGTTAATCTCGAAGGGAAGAATGACGAAAACGAAAAATACAAATGACATCTCACCATCGGGAAGTCAAATTTATTACGCATGGTGATCGTTGGTTCTGTGTGTCCAACGCATGCCTAGTGCTCCAGATTCGCGAACCATGGCTAGTGATTGCAACAATCTCGGTGCTGATGGCCTGAGGGCAATACGGATTCCCATATCTGCGAGCGCTCAACACGCCAACAAGCTTAGAAAGTAAACTTCCATGCAACAGGACTACGCCGTCGGCAGTTGCCTGCTTAATTATTTAATTATACGGACCACGGTGGCGGCAACCATGTTACCGAGGAGAGCAAAGATCTAACAACCCCTATTTAGTGTAACGTGATGCTAGGCGAGAAGAGATATTTTAAAGTATCTTGTGATTCTGGATTCTGGACCAAAAAGAGTTTGAAATTCACTTGTATAACGTATGCTAGCGTTATAGCCTGAAACATCGTAATTTTTCGTTGAAAAAGAGAACGAAACGAAGGCGAAAGTTGTATAAATTTCATAATTATCGACTGGAAAGAGACGGAAACAGTGAAGTATATTAAGGAAAATAGCATTTGCTTATTTGGGAAATTAAGCACCTAATGTTTCGTAATACCGTCCCATATTATGGAAACTATTATCCTGTACACATAATTTGTTTTTCCTATTTATAGTTTATCGACAATTAAATCTTCTAATGTTGCGTGACCATGACAAAGTGGATTCTATCAGCGTAATTCTGCACTGCGCTGTAACGATAAACGATAGATATCCGTAGAATGGCACCATTCTTCGACAGATCAAGGTCAAGTTGTCTCTGCAATTTATTATCTACAAGAAACTACAATGTACAAAGGAACAACCAAAGAATTCATGTTACGTTAACATATTTCGTTATATCAACGCCTCAAGCAATTGCTTCGTGTATCCTATCAACTTTCCAAGCATTCAAGCAACTCCAAGCATCTTTCAACTCTGCATGTTTAACGCTATCAATGTTCAGTCTTATAGTCACAGAAATTAGAAAACCAACAAGTGGATTTACATCCTACGAAAATTACCCCCAATTTACTATGACAGCCATCTTTTAAAGATTTCATTGCCATAATTAATGCTTAAAGTTTTAAGAAACTACGATAGAATGAGTCTGAAATGTAATATCTTATAGGGAGACAATGATCATGTTGGACACCTCCAATTTCATGATAAGAATGGCCCAAGACATTAAATTAAGGCACGTATATAGTCACAGACTACTATTCGTTACATCAATTATAATTCGTGACCAGCGCGTTACGAAATAATGATCAGTCAGGCTGCAAAAGGCGAAGATCTGCTGATCAAAATTTACGCACTTGGTTAACGTAACAGTTCGCGCAAATAGCTATTTTCCACGGAAGCACGGGCACCGGCGCGTCTATGAAATCTATCAAGTGTTCCGGTAAAACGCGTATCAAGCACGCACACAGAATTGCGAACTGATGCCGCTACATGCATAGACTTTCATCGCGAAAGCGTGGCGATAGTTATAGAAAATTGTATTACGTCCCGGAAGAAAATACGCGCAGGTTACCGCAACAGGGAATCGGTGCCTCGTAAAATCTTGTATTAAACAGTTCGTAACTAAATTGCGTTGCCCAGCTCGTGTTCGTGGCCGAAAGCATACCGTTTCCCTTTTCTTTGTAGAACGGGAAATCTTTCTGCTACGCAATTCGGCTAACGATATCGTAGTTGCGCTATTTCTGAAGCGATTTTAATCTAATTTCCTCCAAACTCTTATCGTAATACATATCTTAAAATTAAAAAATAATTCCTCATATATTGTACTTGTTCTTGTAGAACAGTATTAAACTTATCGCATATTACAATAATTATTAGAATTGTAACATATAAAAATGACTAATTGATGAATAAGATAACTAATAGTATTATAACATACAAAAAAATAGATTATGATTAATAATACTTTATTAAAAATCAAATATCCGCCATTTTTAGAAAGTATCATTAAATTTTCCCTAAAAAGCATAATAAGACAATATATGCGAATTTTTATATAGATTTAGTATAAAATTAATTCCTGCAAGATCATACAACAATTCAATATTTACAAAGAAGCGTAGATAGTAAAATTAATTTTTCTATTTCCGGGAATCAATATCAATTAAATAATTTCTTTGGATTTTCTTAAGACAAAGGAATGATTATTTTATTTACCTGTAACTTATTTTATATAGTATAGCTTCTACTACTTTGCAATACATTATTCTTAAATTTTCTAATAGTAAAAAGAGATACAGAAATGTAATATAATTTGGATATTCTACACTAGAGGACGCCTTAGTAGCTCATTATATTACAAATGGCCACTGCTTCAGGAAACAATATCGAGATCGCGGGAAAAAGCATATCATATTTCTTATTTTCTAATTTACAGTCGAAATTTTTACACGTTTAAGTGCGCAAAATTAGTGCTATGCTGTCTCTAGACAATAATGAATCTCATCAGGATAAGGTACACGGCCTGTAATATCGATTTTAAATTGTTATAAAAAATGCATTCTTTGAATTGTAGGTTATATTATTTGTTATTGACATATTTTTTCTTTTTGTATATTTTCAAATATGCAACTTTCGTCATTTTTATGTTTTATCATTTTTCGTGCGAGCTGGTAAAGCTAATGTTGAGATTATGCTGATTGTGTTGAAATTATGTTTTATGCATATTTCTTGTTTACATCTTTGCATTTGACATTTCTGTTAGTAGTATTAAAAATAAATCTCGCTTGTAGTAGTTCGGATTTTTATTTATTGATAAACTTACCTTCTTGCAATACTTTGTATGTTGTGAGCTATAACAATTAACTATAAGAGACTGAAGAAAGATTATTTTATAGGAAGCCACTATAGCTAAAGTACCTTACGCTAAAAAAGAAAAATCAAATGAATGGACATATACAATGAGAAGGGATATGCAGGTACATCAAGTGTAAATATTATCAAAAGATACATAAAAGATATATAGTTTAAATTAATAGTTATTTTACATTAGGAAGTGATACCTGGGTTATATCTTGGCCCATATAGTGCAGCTATCAAATCGCAACTACCATCTTTATTACAATCTGGCATAACACACATAATATGTGTTAGGCAAGACATAGAAGCAAATTTTATAAAGCCCAACTTTCCGGATAAATTTAAGTATGTAACCTTTATGACTTAATATAAGTAATTAACTAGTAAGATTATTTTGGAAATGATTAATATATCAGAATAATTCATACCAATGTCACAGGTATCTTGTTTTGAATATTGCTGATACAGCAACAGAAAATATTATTCAACATTTTCACAAGGTAAGAACATTTATTGATGAAGCTTTGAACTCTGGAGGTCGAGTCTTAGTACATGGTAATGCTGGAATATCAAGATCTGCAGCATTAGTTTTAGCATATCTTATGGAAAAATATGGACTCTCCCAAACGTAAATTCCTACTTTTTTTCTTCTATTCGTCCTTGTTATTACAAAAATTATTGAAAGAGTATGATCTTTTTAGACGTGCATATACGATTGTACAACAAAGAAGGTTTTGTATAAACCCTAATGAAGGTTTCATGGCACAATTGAGAGAATACGAGCCGATATATCAAGCACAGCAAACATCAAGACATAGTTTATTGACACAAAGAATCAAAAGAACTATCCATCAAATGGATAATGAAAAAACAGAGGATAAATGTGATAAAATGGACAGTTGATGTTTCTTTAGTAAATGCTAAAGTTACCAAAAGACATACTCTAAATTAAATAAAAAATAAACTTCATAAAAAGTAACGTTTTTTTATCTCGTCGCGTTTTGAAAAATACCTAAACATATGGGTATCTAATAAAATCAGGAGTCATATTATTTAATTTCTAATATAATATATAGAAATTAAAAATTTATTGCAATATGATTATCTTTGTATTAGATAAAACAATTATTTATCTAGATAAACAAAATACTACAGATTTAAACATTTCTCTTTTTAAACTAATTTATAACAACACACAGATTTTAAGCAATTTGTTTCACATAAATCCCCACTACTAACCTTACTTTTTATTTATTCAGCATTTAAGTTTGTAGCACATTATGTATTTAAAAAAAAATACATTCGCTTTTTGTTGCTGCAATATGATATTATATTTTTACGTTGCCAATGTTCCAATTTCAATAAAAATTGTATGAAACTTTTTTTATCATGTATATTGAGATAATTCAAATTACAAAACATAGAAAATTAAATTTTTTACTCTTATATTTTATATATATTTCATACAACTTTTGTAATGTGTATATTTTTCTTCAAAACTAGAATTACAATAGATTCTGGATTAATATTACCTATTTGATTCGTGCTGGAATTAATATGCAAATAATATCTTCATTGTTCTCATCTTTGAGTTGCCACTTTACGGTAACACTGACCTGTAATTTAATGATTTATAGAATTGACCAATAATGTATTTGTAGCAAATATAGCTTAATAAACTGTCACTCTATAGTACCTTAGGATAGGATTTTAGCACCAGTAACGTATTTTTGTAGTGAAATGTGGCATCACCCTTCTTTAAGGGACATTTAATGCCAGAATCAGGAGCTTGACAAGCATCTGCATTTGGCAATGGAAAAGGTATAGGAACATCCATCACAATACCATGCACAACTGCATTAACTTTTGAAACATCTTTATCTGCAAAATTATGTTTACTTTTTTAACTGTTTTGTGTTTGAAAGCAAACAGACAAAAAGAAATAGACACCTTATGTGAACATACTAACCAACTGTAAAATCGATATTAATTGTTGCATTTGTATTTGGTATTAAATCACATACAGATTTATTCATATCACAGTCCAGAGTTACAGACGTAAATTTTCCCACTTTCGAGCCTGTATGAAGAAAATTGTGTTATCAATAATTGTTATCATCTCATTAACATATTCTTACACTGTTTCGAATGAAAGTCGTTTGCTCATATTTATACACGTATATAAAACTATGTTGATAATTTTATTTATTATGATTAGTCATATGTACACCCTTTATGTAAACAAAGTTTCACATTGACAATTATAGAGAAGTTGTAGCCTCATGACTTTGAATTTCTGAGACAAGAATTTCCGCCATTTTTACGATCATATATTATTACATCAATTGTATGCTACTTAACCGATAATTAAGTGGTTTATTCAGTAAAGTGTGTTTTCTTAAAATGAAATAATTTTACATTTATTTGTGGTAGTTCTAAATTGTAAGAAAATAGCCGTTAGTGACTAATATATCATAAGATCAGCACGGTTTTGGACCATGAAATTTAAATGATAAAATATCTAACGCATGATTTCTGAATTTATTTGAATTATCTTCATAATAAAAATGATCAAAACAAAGAAATCTTATCGGTTATCAATCATGATTGTGTGCGTATATTTTGTTTATTTATTGAAATACTGTATCTATATCGCTACAGAAAAAATAGTTTTATTATTAAAATAAACGACAACTTCAATTATTGTTCTGTATTTATAAAGTACTTTATAATATTGCTAAGATAATCAACGAATAGTATTGAAATGTATATTCAACTGATTTATTATAACAATCATGTTTTCCTTCAGTTTTTTTTTATATGTTACTGATAACCGATACAGCACAACAAAGCTAATTATATACGGCACGTTATCAACAAGATGTTATATTAATTTGTGAAAAACAGAAATACTATTGTTTGTAATTTCTACGTGCTTCTTTTGTCGCAATACTGTATCGAGGAAAAAATATTCATAATTAAAAGTAGTGAAATCGAAACTTACCACAATCATCGATATCGAGGGCTTGACAAGTTGGTGAGAAACTCAGGTAACATAGGACAAGAATTATAGCAATCCTTCGATACATGTTGTTCGTTCGGAGTCCGCGCAGCTATTAAACTCGTTGTACGTTGTACGGAGCTCTATATCGAAACAAACATTAGCCTGCTATTCTCAGCAGACATCACGTCACTTACGCTGTTCTTACATTACGTACATATCTTACGCATCAAATTACTACCACCTACGTCTAATGATAAGTGTGGTATACAATCATATCGGAAACAATTTTAGATATATGTATATGTAGATGTACCACATTTAATGTTATGATTCGTACTTTGCATATTGCATTAAAGTTTGGTACTGGCATTTAATTAGAAATCTGAGCAAAGAGATCTTACTCAATATATTAGTGCTCAATTGTTATTTAACTTTAGAAAAGATAATAATAAATGGAATTGAAAAGCAAGATACTCGTCTATAGTATCAATAATATTTGACGATATAATATGCACAATTACAAACGGAAAGAATTATATGTATGATACTGTTTAAATGAACTGAATTGTCGAAACTGAACTCGTATGAGAATAATTTGTACGAAGACGAGTTCGGATGCACGATTATAAAATATTCTGTCCTTATTTTTTATTTCATAATTAATATTAATTCCAATTACAACTAATGGTAACTTTATTCTATGCTAAATTGGTAACGAAGTGACACGGAAATGATAAAGACGCTTACGATGTATGTAGGGCAATGTTGGGGCCAAGAAACCCTGATGCGCCATCTCCGTGTGTCTGCGAAGACAAAAGGCATCGTGTCCAGCGTGCGAAAAAAACATGCACGCGCGTCTACATACATATAGAGACGCTTGCCAACTTCAATCGTGAGATAAATCCTCGTCAGTGGATAAATATGTATGTACATGTATTAAATTACCTACTGTTAATAAGTTTTCAACTCAGTTGCGAATATTTTATCATATGGAACGCTCTAATTTTTCTCAAGGTCGGTATTTCAGAATGTGAGATACGAAATCTTGTATAATGTCAAGTCTATCCTATATTTAGTCAATGCTAATGTTGACCCAGTCAAACGGAAAACAAGGAACAATCTTTTCATGTAATGTTTCTTGACTGTAATTTATTTCAATGAAAAACATTAAAAACCACTTAAAAGTTCCCATTACGTTGTTTAACTCATTAAAAATTAACAAGATTTGAATAAAACGTGTATAACTTCTGGGAAAAATATTTAACACATACAATTAATATCACCATGTATTTTGTTATATATTTACAATTTGATAACAGAAACGTTAAACATAACAGACAGCCTTGCCTTCGACCGAAAGATCTGTTTCAGGCATTTTTCGATGGAACGCGAGGCCAGCTAAAAATCACATAAATATAATAATATTCGCCATAATAAATTCATTACAATCCATAATATGTGTATTTAATATATGTTATTTAAATTTCCTTAAACATCTGCTTAACCAGCTCACTATCTCTTCCCGTTGTTATTCTTTCCATTACCGATCATGGTTTCTTCTTAATTAAGTCTACTATTACTCGCTTCTTCTTTAGTCTTATATTCGGATTGTCCATACTTAATGATATTTATTACGTAACTTTTTCACGAAATTCCGCAAGTCATCTTAAAAAAGACTTTATTCGGTATAATGAACTTTATTTCCTGTTTCTATTCATTCACGATGATGCTGAAAATGACCGATAAATTTTTCAATCGTATCATACAACTTGGCAAGAACATCGTACACATCCTTTGATTTATTTTATTTTAATTGCTTAATTGTATGTACAAAAAACTTTGATTTTCTTTTTTTTTTCATATTAACACGTACTCTTCTTTTTAAGCTCGGCCTTCATGTGGTGGTTCCATAAAAACAAGATTCTAAGTGGCTTAACCATGGAAACTTCCTTTAACGCGTTCACTGGGTGCCTGGGTAATGTTCGTGATTTGAACATTTAAAAATGTTTCGCAAATTTTGATTCCATTTGTCGTATAAATAGTAATAGAAATAAATATATAATTTCGCTTTTGATTTGATTAAGGACAGCTTGATTAGTTGACAACAGTGAAAGTGTTAAATTCTGTTCGGTGGTTAACTCTTTGAAGCATATCCTTTGAATGTTCTTACGTTGCATAAAGTGAAGTGTTATTGAAAACTGTATAACATTTACTAATTATGGCATCGAAAAATGTATCTAACGGTGAATCAGTAAGTATAATAAAAGTTGCTTACATATTAGTACAGATTAGAGTTTTATATTCAAAAATTTATTTTTTGGTTGGTTATAACGGATCGACAAAAATTTATTAACAAATTACTTAAGAAAGTTTTTTAGTTTCTTTTTTATAATTTTACAATAACGTCTATATGATACACTCGTCGCATGATATTGAATTTTGAGCATTTAGAACAATGAAAAATAGATGATTAGGGTAAAATGGTGCTTCAAAGAATCAAGTCACATTGGAGTAACAGTCTCTTTTATTCGAACCGACCGACGAAATTCTTTTTTTACGTGAATTTACGTGTCCAGTGGCAGTGTGTTATACACGATAACAGTGATGTTAATTTTTATGTTACATCTATACGTATTTCTTTATTTTTACAAAAACATCACGTACACTTTGAATCCAATACGAATCGACTAATTTCTTTTATGATTTTTTTCTCTTTTAATGATTTAGCATTCTAGGGATCTTTAATTACATCCACTTTCATAGTGTACAATTTAACACGCATGTTGATTCGTAGTTTCGTAAACTGTACGGCCCGATTTACATTAGCGATTTAGTTACCTGTGATTACCGCTACTGTACAGCTTGATTTGCTCTACCGACTTAGCCATGTTGTAATTAAATGTTATGCAATGGCTTCTCTGATTATGAGATGCTGGATGAAATATCACATTCGAACATAGCTCGAACTGTAATCGAATTACCATAGAATAACAGAAATTGTTTCAATTTTCTTCAGAGCTAGATTGCCGTATCCTAATAACGAATCATTTGTTAAATCTTCTTTCTAAATAGGAAAATAACAATATTTTTCTCTATATCGTAACTAGGTAATTAAAATTTGAATAGGTGTAAATCGAGCCTTTTTCACGTGATCATTTTTCATTCAATTTCCCTTCGCTTTCTGTATTTTTTCTTTTTTTTTTTTTGTCAATAGTATACGTGGTAGTTCGAGTGAAACGAAATCTTCTCTCTGAAAGATTTCTCAATGTTACCAAAAGCGTAAAAAAGATGGTAATTACCCACACTCCATTTCACAAACGTTCATCGTCGGAACGGCATGTTTCGAAAGCGTCGCTCAGTCAGTTTGTTTTTCTTTCGTGAAATGGAATCGTTTCGAATTACGGTATTACAATAATTAATGGGACGAGGTTGAACGATATTGTTCATTGACGATCGAAGCTTTTGATTGACGAAAGAGAATTCATTATATCAATATATGTAAGTCCAGATATTTCAATTCCATTTTTGTGCTTGAACCGAAGGAATTGCGATCTCTTTTGATTTTTCAATATTATTTTCATATACATATTGAATTAAAAACATTGTTATGAAGAATTTTGTACTTGAAGCATTTAATGGTAGTGTGGTGATTTCGGTTGTTCAATACTGTCCGCTTTTCCATATATTTCTTTATGAAATTTTATAAAAATTGATGCTTAACGATAATCTCCTTGTACTATGGTATATAAATTATGATACTTAAAAATCGTATAATTTTAATCAATGTTATTAATATTAAAATGAAATATCTCAGAGATTATAATAGCAAAAGATGGACGGCCCATTGTGTCGTATGTGTCAATAAGGTATCTGTTATCTTAAATCAAAGACAGAAATTCGAATTAATTTAACATTCGATTAATCTGTAGTATTTCCATACTTTACAATAATATCGTATTTAGAAATTCTTTGATCAATCAAAAGCAAAATCGAGTCGATTCGTCGTCGAACGTATTTTTTACAATGATGATTTGAGCGCTAATGATCTCGCACACTTACACTTTGTAACGTTTACAGTCAATTGTAGGAAGAATAAAATGAAAAACAGAATGGGAAAACGATTGAAACGGACGATCAAATTGTACGGGACACGAGTACATGTCTTCTTAGAAAGTAGCAAACATGTTTGGCTTTCACTTATGGTATAAATTCACTTTTTTGTCTTTTTATTTCATTAAATATATACAAGGAACATCTAACATCGTAGTGGATAGCGTTTTATACACGAGTCTCCATGATCGATTTCTGCTTTGAGCGTCTCTCTCCTCTCGTAATACGTAGAATTCATTATTACTGACTAGCTAGCTGAATGTACTCATTTGATTTCATTATGGAACGATTCCTTCTTCTTTGATTGAAGTACGATCAATCATAAAAAGAAAGTCGTCAATCTTATTTTCATGATCTTTGGGTATCGGAAATTTCCATTATATTCACGATTTATCTATCATTATCAATCACGATAAGGTTCTGGTATCCGTCGAAACACACGATTCAAGATTTTTCTTTTCATTTCGTTCGTCTAAAGGAATTTAAAGAGAAATCTACTCGATAAAATTCAGTTTCGAATTTCCCCTATTCGCACCTTATCTTGCAGTTCCTATATAAATGTCCTTATAAAACTTTCGATAAACTTCATTCTTTTAATCTTGTCACAATTTCATCATTTGAATTAGTTCCTCGAAAATTCCCACGAAGTCGCATTTTCTTTCTTCAAATTTCACGAGTACCTTTAACTCTTCTTCGTCGACGAATACCGGATTCTTCTCTTCCCTATATTCTTCGAATGTTCCTTTAATTTCAAGAAAAAGCTGCATTTACTGCCCCCCTCCGTTGGCTTTTGTAGCGCGTCGTCGTCAACTGGACGATGGAAATGGAAAACGGTACAAGCTTTCAGGCCAGGTACCAGTCGAGCGTTGTTCGCTGGAATTTCGATGGAATATTCCTAAAAGAATGTTTCCTCAGAGTGTTGTTTCGAGTATATCGAATTCATAGGATAGAACTTGACTGGCATTGACGAGACGCTGTATTTTTGATGTTATTTAGAGCAACGTCGATGCCGTGAGAACGTCCGGCACGACTGGTTTCGGAGGGGGGTCCAAACATCACACTCTCATCTCACTCATCGTAGCTTGGGACACACGACTCGATACGGTGGCATTCTGCAACAGGGGCTGGTTCTCGGGAGGACTCTTTGCTCGGGGGGGTGGTGGGGCTCTTGGTACTGTCAGATGTATGGATCCGTTTGGTGGACCCTAAAATTTCAAAATAGCGTTAGAAA